AAAAAATATTTATTTATTCGTCTACATTAATGTGGTCCCCTTCAAAGTAGTCCCCCCCAGATATAATACACTTATGCCAGCGTTTTTTCCAATTTTCGAAGCACCCTTGATATTCACTTTTTGATATGTCCTTGAGCACTCTCAGCGATTCGGCCTTTATTTCTTCAATCGAGGAAAACCGCCGTCCTTTCATGGTCTCTTCTTCAACTTTGGGAATAGAAAAAGTCACACGGAGCCATATCTGGTGAATATGGAGGTTGGGGCATGACTACGGTATTGTTTTTTGGCTGGCCCAAAAATTACGAACAGCACGACGAGTGAGGAATTTTGAATGAATTTTGCTGCCACTCGTTTCATGCCCAAAACATTTGAAAAAATGTTATGACATGAGCCAATTGATATGCCACTTCATCAGCAACCTTCTCTAATGTGATTCGGCGATCATTCATAACCATTTTTTTCCACTTCTTTCACATTTTCATCGTTTGTTGACGTGCTGGGTCGACCGTAGCGTTCGGTCATCTTCAACGTCTTCGCGGCCATCTTGGAAACTTGTTTGTTTCATAGCCAACTCACCATAGGCTTTTTGTAACATTTCACACACTTTGTTACACTTTATTTCATTTTTTTACGCAAAATTTAATACAATTCTTTGACTTTTAATTCTTCCATTGTAAAAATCGCCGAGCTCAGAAAAAACCACGTCGAACCTTAGCGACTACCACAGACAAAGTAAACAGTGAATATAGCTGAAAATTTCATCATCTTTAGGGGCATGTATACCAACACAATAAAAAAAAAAATTTGACAATCAGACACTCCAGACCCGCGAAATTAAAAATTCCGGGTACTTTTGAACACACCCTCGTATTATATATATATATATATATATTATATATATTTATTACATATATATATATATATATTACATATATATATATATATAATATATATATATATATCTTATATATAAAAATGGAGCTCTCAATCTAATGATTCGGTAAACTCGAAAACGGCTAACCGATTTGGCCAGTCTTAGTCTGAAAAATTCGTGCCAGTCAGAGATGGTCGGAAAGGTGAGATATTATTTCAAAATCGCGTAGAAACTTAACATTTTTAATTGAAAATGTTTGTAGAAGCGTAATTGAATAAAACAATGGACGGTGGCTAATACGTCAAATGTCAAACGTTTTTGACAAATGATGTTCAATTACGTTTAAGTAAGGATGTTTTACATGAATATTATTTAATTATAATTAAATTGTAGTAAGTAGTTTTTTGTTGTATTTTATTATATACAAAAACGTTAGTAAACGGGCCGCAAGTGGTACTAGAGACTCAAACAATCAACTTTTTTGAAATGTTATATGAAAATGCACTTTTGGCATATTTTCTCTCAAACACGGTGCTCTGAAAGATCTCATTTGTATAATTATATACTTTATTTATAAACCTTTTTAGGTTATATATTTTTATTTATATTATTTAAATTCAGAACCATCGATCAAAGGGACATTTTGTCGAATAACATTTTTCAGTTATAATTTCCTAGAATTTATCTAAGAATAGATAGTAATATATGAAGGTCCGGGGTTAAAAAGGTTCATGTGTCAAAAACCAATAAAGTTAAGCTTTGTTCAACAACAATATTTGAAAGTAGAGGGAAAAAGATGTATAACCAGCTATAACCTCGATTCTCATGGCTTTGCTATCGGGAGATAAACGGTTATCTTTGAAAATGCATAATAAAACTATTTTCTTCCGTTGGTAGTGTTTTAGCATTAGTTAAAAATGTAATTATATTGTAAAATACCTTTAAATAAAATGAGACATTAAACCTGTTTGCCACCTGGCCGTTCAAGATAATAATTTTTTGAAAGACATAAAAAAAGTACATTTCTACAATGATGAAGTAGCTGACAGTTTTACTGAACGTAGTCAGATAATTGTTTGTTTGAAATGTGTTATTTGTTGTGATATAATTGGTTTGATTTTTATAATATAATTAGTATTTGCTCAAAGTCAAATTGGATCTTTGTGCCTCGCCCTGCTCTACATATATACTTTTTCTTAAATTTACTTTTATTCATTGAATGTTACTTGAAACTTTTCAAAAAGCAGGTCAAAGAAGGAACACTTAATTCATTTTCTATCTTTCCTTGCAGAAATTTTAAAATTTTGTATAATCTCAGTAGTATTATTTATAATTATACACAAAATCCAGAACCCAAAAAAAATCTGAAAAACTTGAAACGTAATCAATAAGTCGAAAGACCAAAAAATACTTGGATTGGATTATAGCATGTTTTCTATAGAAAGTGTATAAAACTTCCAGGTTGATTGTATTAATAAAATATAGACAAACTAATGGGGTTTATTGTTTTATAATACTTTATTGTATATAGCATTCAAACAACATATACTTATACACTTAAAGTATTAATATTTTTGATTCTCTAGAAATTGTTTAGAATATACCTTACTTAGCAAAACAACGTTTGCCGGGTCAGCTAGTATATATATATATATATATATATATATATATATATATAAAAATTAATTCCTAACCTTATATTTCCAGTTGACTTGGATATTACAGCAGCTTTACGATCTGGAGAACCGGTGACTAAAAACAACAAACAATATTACACAATAGAAAATGTTGAACTTAAATTCCAACCCAAAAGGTACCACATTCACGAATTTAATTTATAAAAAGTAATTTAACATTTTTCTCAGTTTAAAATATTCTATTTCTTTCAGAATGTATCTAACTTTCAATAACCCAGACCAAGACAGACTTCTAGAAGACCAAACCAACAGATTTTTAAACGAAAATTGGAAAGATTTATTCGAAGAGCTGAAACCGTCCTTCCAGGACTCTTTCTCAGCATTGTTTAAAGAAATCGCAGCAAGAGTTTTCGATAGAGTTCCTATTAAAGATATGTTCCTTAAGTAAATTTTGGAAATACAAATGATAGAAGAAATTAGTACTTAATAATACTCAAAGATAAGATATAAGATTGAGGCGGAACACCTGGGCTTAGGATTAAGAATATTGGATACTGAGTGACTCTTAGTTTGAATATGTGTATGAAGATGTTATTTATTACCTTGATTTTAAGTTTGTTATAAAAATTTATATAAATAAAATGATCAAATATGAAATGTTATACATTAGATACAACAAAATGTACAATATTAACACAATAGGTTATATAAAATGTATATACAAATAAAATAAATATATGAAACTGATATTCCATTTTGTGATAATTTGAGAACCTCAAGGGGACTTATAGTAATCGTCCAAAAATTTTGCGTATCTTTAGGTTTCAGAGTTTACTGAATATTTTGGCTGTGTGTGTGTGTACGTATGTATGTGCGGATACAATTTTTCGTCGAAGTTTTCTCAAGCAATTTGAATTATTCAAAAATCATTCGATTCCTATTAATAAGGAGACGTGGTGATTTCTTTTTGGATGAGGCAGGTCAAGCAGTTTCAGAGATACGGAGCAAAGAGTGCAGAAAATACAAATCGAGTTTTTGAGAGAACGGAGTACCGGATTTGAATTATCTAAAAAACATTCAATTTGTAATGCTTGGGAGAAGAGATGATTAGTTTTTGGCAAAGACAGGTCCTGCCGTTTCGAAAATACACAGCTAAATGTGCAAAAAATGGCAGTGTCCGATTTGAATGGTCTAAAAAACTTTCTGCTTGTATTGACAAAACAATTGCTTTTGAGGATAAAAAATTATTACATCTTTTTTTATTTTCCGTAAAATATTTTTGTAATTTTGGATTAAAAATTCAAAAAATTACCCAGGCTAAGCACAGTCTAAGCGCCACTTTGGTACAAATGTTTACTCAAGTGCGTTTAGACTGTTTATGAATTGGAACACTTTTCCAATTTTGTGAAAACTATTGAAAAACGTGGAAATGCCGCCAAGCTGAGCCCAGTATAAGTGAAAATGCAGCACAGAATTATTTGCAAGTGCGTTTAGACTGTGACTATACGGGAGCACTTTTTCAATTTTGTTTAAATTAGGCAACTATTTTTTAGAAATTGAATTGGAAATGAAATGACGATTGTTAATGTTCTGGAGATAAATTGATTTATGATTTATGATTTACATTTGATTTGCTCAAATATAACAAGATAGCAAAAATAAAGAAAGTTACAGTATTTGTAATAATATATTTGAAAACGTTGAAAATTTCTCAAATATTTTATTACGGTACAGGAAGTTCCAGCAATTTGCCTTAAGTGCACCACTAGTTTTTCATTTAATTCAGCAAGAAACACATAAATTTAATAAATAAAACCTTCACAGTAATTACTCTGATAGTAAATTCATTTGAAAGTCTAACCACAACAGTGCAATACAAATAGATGATTTATATATTGAAACATAAATCATTCAAAAAGTATCAATTCAAAATGAACATACCTGGAAATCTTCCTCCTTAAATCTTCTATTGTTGAATATAAATACAAATTTCTTATACGTTTATATTATCAAACTTATATTTTATAAACTTATATAATTAATATATAGATAGTTAGCTTATTCATCAGTCTCATTATCACTATGACTAAATCTTGACTTTTTCTCGACTTCTGTTAAAGTAACGGGTAACAAATCACCCCATTTGCTCGACCTCACACAATGGTAAGCCGTTCTGCAAAGAAATAATAAAAATACGTAGAAAACAATATAACAAAGTATAAATGTATTATATCATGCAATATATTTTATTTCTTCCTTCTACTTACTTTCCATGTTTAGCAGCAGTAACAACGACTTCTTTTAATTGACCATCAGAAGTGCACATTCTGCACACGGTGTGTTTCGACCTCACCAAAGTGGGCCTAACTATTCTCGGCCAAGTACAAGTAACAGAATCACCCTTGTCATCATATACTTCCTCATCACTTTTCACATTAACCTCATCGCTTGTACTATCTTTCTTGTCAATATTAAGATTTCTGATCGATTCTTCTCTTTCAGAACTGAAGCGATTGAGTTTTTGCCTCAATTTTTTTTAGTTAATACATCTGTTGATGAGTCGCTGATTGCTTTTTTTCTGAGAACTATGTAACTGAATCGTTCTGTTTTGATTTGGGATACAGCGGCTAGAGGTATAGTTGAATATTTTACTTCAAAATTGCATGGGGTTTCATCTGTCATGAATCGTGGACATGGTTTGGAATGCGGACACTGAAAGATATAATAATAAATGATATACAGATTAAAAATACTATGTAAATAAATGATAGAAAACTAGTGGGGCGCATGGCATCGTGCCTTAAGGCAAATTGCTGGAACTTCCCGTTCCAATAATTATTTGTTTTTAAAAAGATAAACATTTTGAAAAAAATATACTCTGAAAAAATTAGACTTTTGAGAAACCATAAATTTTTGACAAAAATTTATTTTTCTTGAAAAAAAGACTTTTGAAGAAAAATTTATTTTGAAATATTTTGGAAATTCTGAACTTTTTTTCAAATCAATCGTACTGCTTTAACTGCATAGAGGCGACATGTAAAAGCGCGTAAGCGCCGCGTCGCCGTCTAACGGATAAACATTGGTACGGAACCCATAGGAATGTAAACAAAATTTAAACTTATTGTTAAAATCTCTATAAAATATCCGATAATTTGATGTGCACATGTCTAATAATCATTTTTGACCGCCAAATGGCATTTTTTTTTACTTTTTCTACAAGATCTCCGAAACCGCTAAACCTGCCTTCATGAAAATTTGATCAGTTCTTCATCTTGTAAATACAAGTAAAATGCTTTTTGAATTATTCAAATCGGACACTCCGTTCTCTTAAAAAACAGAGTTACCGTTTTTGGTACTTTTTGCCCCATATCTTCGGAACGGCTAGACCTGCCTTTGCCAAAAACTAATCAGCACGTGTCCTTATCAATACGAATCGAATGTTTTTTGAATTATTCAAATTGCCTCATTCGTGTTCCCGAAATCGTCGACGAAAATTTGTATCCGCACACACATACATACACGCACACATACACACACACATACATCAATTTTTTCTGAGGTATGCCAAAATATTCAGAAACCTCTAAAACGTAGATATATAAAAAATATAAAATATAAAAGATATAGATATAAAAATATAAAGGATATATAAAAATTTTCATTTTCGATTTTATTGCGATTTCTATAACTTGCCTTACGGGAAGTTAATAAAAATAACAATATTATAAAATAACACCATAATAATTCAGTTTTTTTGCTGGATAATGAAGATAATGTTATGATAACTGCACCATCTAGAATTCTGTTATCCTGATCTCACGGCAAATGAATAGACATTTTCATAATTTTCAATACCAAGAACAAGCATAAGAGACCATTGCCATGACAACGCTACTTTATGAGCTATGTTACAGCAGAATTGCCCCCTCACTTACTGTTGAAAATGTTTTGTTACAAATGATTATTAATATTATTACCGGGGCGAATATTTCTGCATCATATTGCAACAGAAAGTCTCGTGCTTCAGAAATCAATCTGAATCCAGCATTCGTTCCCATTTCTACGATAACTAAAAATTGTTCAGTTTTGTTCCACAATTTTACCAGTTTCTCCAAACGCAATTCTGGTGTCGACATTTCGAAAAGGGTGTAGGCACATAGGACTATATCGTATCTGATCTGAAAAATAGACAATATATAATTAGAATTGAATAATTGGGGAATATAGATTATTAGCTCATTCATCAGTCTCTCGATCACTATTACTAAATCTTGTCTTTTTGGAAAATGACATTGTACACAAATTTATGAAATTACAACTTAATAAAAAAAATTGTGACTTCGAATACTCACTAGTTATAAAAAATGTTAAAAAATATCACACCATTATTCCATTTAATGTATTTTTATAATTAAAATGCATGAAAATTTTCGTTAAAATCGTCAGAAAAAGTCTACAATCAATTATAAAAAAAATTATTTAAATTTAATTGTTAAATGTTGATGTCAAATTCTTACCGAAATTTAATTCTTTCCGATATTAAAAGCTTTAACATTATATATCTTGTTTCAAACATTATACTATAACAACTTATACAGTTATTGAGTAACATTTAATTAAATTAATCAAACACATTCACCGTTGCACAATTTTAGAAACTTTCAAACCTCCATTTCAAACTCATCGTTTGACCTCGTTGATTTTCGTTTTTGACGAAATACCACGGAAAAAAAATGTCATCGGGCAACACTAGACAAATGTCAAATGTCATTAAATAAAAATGTAAAAGAAAACATTGCAACAAATCATATTATAAATAATTATATCAATAAAAAAGGATTAAAATATATAAATAATAGACAGAAAATAAATCAAAAAATATATATAAAGGAATGATAGTGTATAATTTAGGGTGCATTCGACTTGGACGCTTACGCGCTGTGAGCGCTCACGCTTACAAGCACGAATTTTTAGCGTTCGACTTGGCCATTAAGCGCTCAGAATCGATAACTGAAATCCGTTCGTTTTGGAAACTGTGAGCGTCAATAAGCATCAAAATGGCGGCAACTGGCGGTAACGGTAATTGTGTAAATTTTTTACTTTCTGGATCATTCAGCGGGATTATAAAGAATTTAACAATTAATAAATAAATGAAATTTCGTTTGCTTATGCTTAATTCATATTAACATTAAAATTAAAATTTAAAATTATTTAAAATTAATTAAATTTAAAATTAATTAATATTAATATTAATATTAAAAAATAATTGTGTTATACAACTTGGCATTTTTGCGGGATTATAAAGAATTTAACAATTAATGAATAAATGAAATTTGGTTAGCTTATGCTTCATTAATAGTAATATTAAATTTAAAATTATTTAAAATTAATTGAATTTAAAATTAATTAATTTAATAATATTAATACTAAAAAATAAATGTGATATACAACTCGGCGTTTTTGCGGGATTATAAAGAATTTAACAAAAAATAAATGAATGAAATTTGGTTAGCTTATGCTTAATTAATAGTAATATTGAAATTAAAATTTAAAATTATTTAAAATTAATTAAATTTAAAATTAATCAATATTAATATTAATATTAAAAAATAATTGTGATATACAGCTTGCCATTTTTGCGGGATTATAAAGAATTTGACAATTAATAAATAAATGAAATGACAGATAGTAAAAACAACTGACGCTCACGCTCACGCTGCCCTACCTCTGTGGCGTGAGCATATGTGAGCGCAAAATATGTGCTACGAGCATCCCACGATGGTGCTACGAGCGTACTTATGCCACGCTCACAGCGCCAAGTCGAACGATGAAAGCGCGCTCACAGCGCGTAAGCGTCCAAGTCGAACGCACCCTTACATGTATGAATAATTGTGTAAATAACATAAGGTTATATCAACAAAGTTGACAGGAATTAATTGGAATAAGAATGGAAATATTTTTTAAAAAAGGTATATTATATATATTTATACGGTATGGAATATATTTCGCTTATATTTACTGCTATGATTTAAATCACGTGTAAAAGTTATTGCCTTAATCTTATTTGTTTGTAGAGTTTAGGCAAATTTCTACAATTACATTAATATGTAATCTGAATTATCACATAATTTCTAATTTATTTCTATATATTCATTGTACCTAGAGATATAATTAATTAAATTCCATTAGCACAACATTTTTTGATAAGTTAATTGATTTGATATGAAAATGTGATTTATTTCATCACTTTTTAAATTTATTTCAGGTTGTGAGTTAGTGCTCCAATAAACAAAAGAATATCATTGTTAATTTGATCAATAATTTATTAAGAATGAATAACTTTACTGGTCCATACGCAGAACAAATATTTGCTCTAAATTTAACCAACAATAATTCAGAAACAACAACATATACCAACAATGTCCAAATTAAAACCGAACCTTATGCTAAAGATTCCACTTATGTGCCAAAAGTTAAAACAGAAGCAAATGATTTTGAAGAAAACGAAGTGCAATGTAAATCTGAAATAATAGACCCCGAATACGAAAGGTTTGATCTAACAAATTCATCTATCAGTAATGATATGTTTTATCCGAATGCGCAAATAAAACAAGAAGCTTATGACTATGAAAGTACTACAGATGATAACTCCAACAATGTACCAATGGAATATGAAAGCCATGATTCCAGATTATACTACAGTAATAAATCTAATACTTGTAATACATGTGGCAAAACCTTTAAATCAAATTATTCCATCAAAATACATATGCTTACGCATACGAACTACAGGCCTCATAAATGTCACATATGTGAAAAAGCCTTTAAATTACCATCTCATTTACGAGAGCACATTCTGACTCACCAGTCTGAAGGCCCTCATAAATGCACACTTTGTGAAAAGACTTTCAATCAATCGAGTCATTTGAAAAGGCACTTTTTATTACATACCGGACATCGAGCTTATAAATGTGAAGAGTGTGGTAAAACATTTGTTAGTAATGGTAATTTAAAAGAACATATGCTTACGCACAGGAGTGTGAGGGATTATGAATGCGACAGGTGCCACAGAGCATTTCATAGACATTCACATTTAAAGAAGCACTTGGAAGAACACGATACTGATAAGTACAATTACGAGAAAAAAGAGGAGTATATTTGTGAAAAATGTGGTAAAGTTTATAAATTGTATGCGGCTTATAAAAACCACTTAGAAAAAGAAGTGCATGAACCAAAAGAATATAAATGCCACATATGTTCTAAAGTGTTCTTTGAAAAACATAATTTAGGTCGACATATTTCAAGACACACAAAAGAAAAAGTGTTTGAATGCGGCATATGCAATAAAGGCTTCACCGAAGCCTTTAATCTTAAAAAACATTTAATAGTTCACACAGGAGAAAAACCTTATTCTTGCCAAATATGCAATAAATCATTTAGCGCCGATGCAAATCTAAAAACACACATGTTAGTACATTCTGATGAAAAGCCTTTCAAGTGCGAATTCTGCAATAAATTATTCAAAAGAGCATATGATGTTAAAATGCATCAAATGACCCATCAAAAAGTTCGTCCCTGCAAATGTGTTATCTGTGATAAAACATTCACTAAAGAAATATATGTTAAAAGACATATGATGAAATCTCATAAAGTATAATATAGTATGTTATTTTATTTGTTGTTATAAATGATCTATTAAATAGAAATGTGCAATAAAGTCGACCGGGAATCTTCAGAAGGAAGCCGACTTGAAAGAAATAATATATAGCTGAATTTATTGTAAAAACTATAAAATAATTATTTGCATCACAGTTTGTATAACACCATTCTGGAAATGGTATTTGTTTTTGAATCTTATTAAATATTTTAAATACATGTGATATTAAAAATTGACGCTCTTTTATTACATATCTTATATATAAAATTTTTCTGTAATGATGTATGTATGTAGATATACTCCTCCTAAACTATTATAAGAATTTTGATAAATTTTTCTGAAGTTTGTTGAGGAAATTTTTTAGGATGTATGTGATTATAAAATTATAGTAATATTGTAGAAATAAATAGAAAAAATTGCAAAAAACGAAAGAAAACTCATCTGCCAAAAATTTCAATTTACTTATGAGCCTAGACAATATTAGAATATGTATAATAAATTCATGATTATGAAGAAAAAAAATGAAATGTCTACATTATTATTGCCAAATAGCAGCTGATATGTGCCAGAAATTAAAATAATATAAGATACGGTATATGAATGGCAGATTGAATGATACACATATGAACAGGATTTAATATGAACTTTATATAATGACAATAAAGCTCAATTTGATTCTAAATTTTAGTTAGAAAACGTTTGTATGTGAAAAAGAAAAAGTCTGTTTTTAGGGTTTTAGGTCTGTTTCGCTTGCATTTATTTGATTTTTTCTCACCCTAAGAACCATCCTTGGACTTCAATGAACATTTAAAAAAAAGAATTGGCCAAATTCGTCCAGACGTTGTTAAGTCGTTCTTAATTTTGTGATTCATTTTTTATATATAAGAAGATATATATATATATATATATATATATATATATATATATATATATATATATTTAATTTATCAAAATTTACCTCTCTTGCTGCAGGCAAAAACTGTCTATATGAGATTCCTTTTATAGGGTTCAGTTTATTCCCCCGGCCACCTTTGAGAATAATATCGGCCAAGTCGTTCATTGAACTTGATGAATCAACACAGAAATATTCAAAAATGTTTGATTTCCAAAAATGGTTTACTGCCCATGTACCAGTGCCTACACCTGACCCAAAATCCAAGAAACTTTTTGGTTTGAAATCAGGAACCCTGAAAAAATAATAAAGAAACAGATTTAATAAAAATTATATTTTTAGAAAAATCATAATAATAATTAAGTAAATTGATGAAAGGAAGCACTATTACTTTAACATTTATACACAAATAATATTTAATTACTGAAAAGAGTTAATATATTTTTAATTAAAAACAAATTTAATTCTTTTTACTTATTACCAGAGAACATTGGAGTTCAAATAATTACTTTTATTACCTGTCATATATTTCTCCAAAAATTCTAACAAGTACAGCATATTCCTGAGCAGATCTTCCAAACATATAAGTCAGAGCTCCCAAATCATCATACGACATTGGCTTCCAGCCGTATATTTGTTTATTACATTTTACCATTATTTCATTATGCAAGAATTTCTCTTGTTTAACTCTTTCTTCTTCCGGCATGTCATCAGTAAATTTATATTTTGACTTTTCTAATATTTTTAATCTAATTTGTTCATATTTATCTCGCCTTTCGAGCTGTGTGGGAGGCGGGTGTCTTCCAGCTAAGTATCTGTTTAATTCTTGGCCATCATTTACTAATTTCTTTATTGGAAAATCTAAAACCACAAACATGATCCATATTATAAATACTTGGCATTTATATATAAAAGAATTTTATTATTACCTTGTATAGAATTTTCCATTGCCTTGATATACTCAATTGGAAGTTGAACATTTTTATATTTCATAACACCAGGATGTTTACGTGGTTTATATATTGCATTCTGTATATCTTCGTTGACTTTTTCATCTAACAGTACAGCTGTTCGAACTGTGCTCATAAACTGAAAAAAGGTAATGTGATTAACAAACAAATAATTTATAAGATACAAACATTGTTAGATAAAAGTACAAGTTTATATTATTAAGCTAATTGAATGTGTTTGAAATGTTTTATACAACTTTACTAATGTTTTAAGTAAAAATATATTGTATATAATTATATTAAACTATTCTTTGAGCTTAATAAAGATTTACATCAGAAATGTTGTGTTGAAACCAGGGATTTGTTATAATAAATGCAAAATATTCATCCAAACTGTGTTTAAATTAACTTAGAAGAATTGTTTTTATCTTAATCACAAGTGTATCTTTTGCATTACATCTTGCAAATGCTTTCAGGTTAGCTAAATACTATAATAAAAAAATACTCAGAAATATCTTACACCATACCTTTATATTATAATATATTTTATTAGAAAACAAATTAATATTTAGTTTCAACATTTTAATTAATCATGCATTAAATATATTTCATTTTAATTCAATTGACAACACAAATGAGAAAACATAACCTCAAAATAAGCATAATCGAACACAAACATAAGTTGAACATATTAATTTTTACTATACCTTTATATTATAAAATATTTTATTAGAAAGTGAACTTATATTTAGTTTCAACATTTTAATTAATCATAAATTAAATATATTTTAATTTATTTCATTTTATTCTTTTTACACATAACCCAAATTCAACGCATGACATTTGACAGTTAGACACATTGAAAGAAATACAACATAACCTCAAAATCATTATAGACCAGAATCAAATATTATAACGATAATGCATGAAAAGATGTTTTAATTTGAAATTAAATTCAAAATAAACGTATTTATTGTAATTATATAACTGTTAATATTTATAGGTAACTGAGGAAATCAATTAATTTGAATGTACCATTTACTTCCGCATACATACTTTGCTGCAGCTCATTAATTACCAATAATCTTATATATTGTTTATATAATGTGCTGTACCAATAATATTCAATAATATTATATATTATTTACACTAATTACCTTTTTATTTTTTATACAATGACCTTTTTATTCTGGAGTTTAGCATTTATTCTGTTAGGGTCTCCATTGTTTGCCTTCAGTTAACATCTTAAGTTATTTTTAATTGTTTGTTTAAAATGAATTAAAAAATAAATCGTATTACATAAAACCAACATTGTATATAATTATCTATTCAACTAATTTTTCTATCTGACAAATTAATCTAATTATAATTTAATCTATCTATTAAAAACAAATAAATTATTGTTTCGATAAAGATCTACAGCAAGAGATGTATTTTTGTAATTAATTGTTTTTACAAAATAAAGTCTGTTAATCTGTAAAGTCTTAAATCTTAAAATCTATTTTAATTTACAGCTAATACTATAACATGTTCTATTATTACTGATTTGAATTAAATATATAACAAATGCAAATAAAATATGAAAAGAGTAGTCGTAGGAGTCTCTGGAGGAGTTGACAGTGCAGTAACTGCTCTTTTGCTCAAGCAAAAAGGTATACAGCTGTTATATATACATATATATATATATATATATATATATATATATATATATAAATTTATTTATTTTATAGGATATGATGTTCAAGGTGTATTTATGAAAAACTGGGACACGGGCGAAGAAACTGGTGTTTGTACGACTTCAAAAGACCTAGAAGATGCAAAATGGATGTGTGATCAAATCAAAATTCCTTTTCGTGAAGTTAATTATGTGAAACATTATTGGAATGATGTCTTTAGGTAGATATTAAACTCTTGATATTTTTATACTTGAAAACCTAAATATGATTTAATTATTTTTTATTTTTTTTAGTCATTTAGTTTCTGGTTACCAAAAAGGTTTAACACCAAATCCCGACATACTTTGCAACCGAAACGTAAAATTCAACCATTTTCTTAACTATGCATTAAAGGATTTACAAGCTGACGCTGTTGCAACTGGACACTATGCTAGAACAACATTTGGACCGTACTTGGAAAATTATCAACCAGATACAGGTAATACAGTCAAAATAATTTCTATAATCTGTATGTAAGTATTTTTTATCTCTAGATGTGCATCTATTGGAAGCTTTCGACAAAACAAAATGCCAAGCTTTTTTCTTATGTGGAATCAGACAAAAATCTTTGAGACATATAATGTTTCCATTGGGCGAATTAAGGAAGGTGGATGTTAAAGAAATTGCTAGAAATTCTGGTTTAGTCAGGTTGGCCAAGAAGAAGGAAAGTATGGGGATTTGTTTCATTGGGAAAAGGCATTTCCAAGATTTTATTGCAGAGGTGAGGGGATGATAATTGTTTTATATTGTGTTCTGTGAAAAATTTATAATATTTTCTAATCTAATTTGGTACTTTTAGTATGTCGATCACATTCCTGGCAACTTCATCGACGTGGACACTGGCAAAGTGGTTGGCACCCACAATGGTATCCACATGTGGACAATTGGGCAACGGACAAACTTATCAGGGTTCAGCAAAGCCTACTTTATTTTGAAGAAGATTTCCCCTGATATTTTAGTAGTAAGTAATTGATTCATCTTGAACTTGATAAATTTAAGGGGGTATTCTAGAGTAGAGCAATGAATTTTAGGTCATTTTTAAAGTGTTGTAAAAGAAAGCAATGAATGTTTTTACTATCCATTTTTTGCCACTTGTTCATTAATATTATTAATATATAATATAAAAATTGAAAAAAAGTTGAAAATTGAAGAAACTGGCAGCTGATGAAGTGGGGAGTCTCAAAATGTTGGCAACTCAGTCTCGACATGATTTCAGCCCTCCTAGCCATCGGAAAATCAAAAAATAAAAAGATTAGTAAAAAAAAATTTTTTTACAAACTGGCGACTGTTTGAAAAAAAGTGTATTTTTTTACTGTTTTTTTTTTGTTTCTCGATTTTTTTAAAATATAGTAAAAATTGGAATTTGGCGATGATGATAGTTCGGGCTACAGATAGGTCTACAAATAAGAATCTCTGAACATTTCAAGTGAATTTCAACTGATGACATCGAACCTTCTTCTACTTAAAAAAAACTATTTTCTGCATTTCTCTCTTCCAATCGAGCAGTTTGTAAGAGAGTAGTTATTAAATATAAAAATATAAAATCCATTGGATGAAAATATAAACTACTTATTAATTACAAAATTTTATGATAAATAAAAATGACAAGTGATTTTTTTTGTTTCTCAATCTCTGGCCTTCTTGATTCCCCACACACTCCCTGCCCAGTGTTGAACTTTCAGTTTAAAAAAATACAGGGAAACACGTTATAAACATATGGTGGTACTAGTATTGTGGTACTAGTCAATTAGTAATTTCAATGTTTCGTCGGCAGATCCACTGTATGGTAGGTAATTCGACCTTCCATCATCTCCATACTCTGCATAAGGTTCTGAATATAAATCATGTGGTTAATTTCCTGAACCTCGAAGATTCAGCCTCGATCTACTGTAATAATTTTTATTTTTACAATATTTTGGGTAAACAGATGGCGCTCTGTAAGAATATGAATTTTCGCAATGATTGAAATAATCTTGTCGACTTCAGTAGCCCTTTGTATCACACATCGGATTCTCGAATCGGATGCGTTTCGAAGGAGAACGTAAAGAGTCATCATCTTGACAAGATGCATTCCCAAAGTCTTATGCGTCAAAAGACTATTTGGTGAGTTAACGGACAAGGAGAGGTTGAATTGTGATTCCAATGAACCATTTGATAATGAATTCAATTCATGACCCAAGGTGTAGGCTTATAATTAATTTTTGTGTCAGCAATAAACACTGAGGCCTGGGTATACAAAATGGGTATACCAACAGAAGTCCGGTGTCAGGTAGTAAATGCGTTAACTACGATGAAGCGAGGACTGGACGTACCTTATAAGTAGTCACGGAAGACCAGTGATTATGGTGCAGCCCAAAAAAATGCTCCTTCTCTGTCTTCATCTCAAACGTCGTGGGTTACCAGTGTGAGAGAGTAGTTATTAAATATAAAAATATAAAATCCATTGGATAAATATATAAACGATTCATTAATTACAAAATTTTATGATAAATAAAAATGACAAGTGATTTTTTTGTTTCTCAATCTCTGGCCTTCTTGATTCCCCACAAATTCATCTGTCATAAATTGGTCTAATGACTTTCTAATGCCATTTATCCGATTAGACCCTGCCAAACCAGTTTGGAGACCAGATCAGTAAAATGCCTATATCTCCGAAAATAATTCAAATTTTCAAAAACCTTCTCGTACCCATATGCTTAAATAGATAAACTTTGAAAATATGAAATAAAAAAGCGATTTTTTGAACTTCTACACTAGAATACTCCCATAATTCTAATCAGTTTCTTTATGTGGCATTCATTAATCATGTGAGGTTTTTAGAGGGAGGAGAAGGTTTGATAAAAAAATCACTAAATATCACGTGAAAGAGGGAGGGGAATAGTAAGATATCACGTGTATTTATTTTTTACCTGAATTTAAAAAAAAATCCAAACATTTTCAAAAAAAATAAAAAATTTCACAATTTTTTTTCGTAACTAAAAATAATACTACCATATGTGATGTTTTAGGTGGGAGCGAGGTTAATTTTGAATATCACCACTTAAAAAATCGATCACGTAATTAATGGACGTCCCCTTAATCCTATTTCATGTTTATTAGTTATGGGTTGGGACTTTTATCTTTTAGGCTGCTGGTACAGACCACCCCAGATTGCACACAAGATTTGTCTTATCCCACGAACCGAATTGGATTTGCACGAGCCACTGGAGTTGACCAAAAACAA